CCAGACAGACTGAGAGAGACAGAGAGACAGAAAGCGAGAAATCACCCCCCAGGGGGGATGGCCACGCTGCAATCCCTTCTCCTCCATTCTCCTCTCAGGATCCTGGGCACGCACGCACACTCGCCCAGTGTGAGTTTTAAGCCACCGGGTCCGGGACGCAAACTGCAGTCGACTACATGGGAGTCCAGCGACATAGCCATTATGCTAACTGCTGGTCCCTCACCCCCTTTTCTTCTGATGTCCTCATTTCCTTAGGTTATATGACCCTTAATACCCATCCCAAGGCTGGTGCTGACACTTTAGCCCACGGTCCTGGGACTGATATGGATTCAAAAAGCCATGCACCTCCTCCCATGCTTTCCCAGAGCAGTTCTGGGCTGAGGGAAGTACGAGTCCATGGATTTGGCCTCTCTTTTTAGTCTGTTAGAGTAGGACACGATCTGAGATCATTTGACCTATGGCCCACATTGGGCAGATGAGGAAACTGAGGCCCAAGCAGGAGTCTTGTCCAGGATCACTCCACCTGATGACAGAGGCCACCAGCTTTAGACCTATGATTCAGCAATGCCCTCAATTAACTGGGGATTTTCTCTCGAGATACATTGTCTATAAGATCTCCAGTAGTGTGTTCCTTCTCTTCCTGTCTAATGACCCAACAAGCCAGATCTTGCACCTGAGCAGCTGGCAGTGAGCTGTGCATTTCCTGATGCCCTTATTCTGTTGTTGATCAACGGCTATGAGGAACTGGCCTGAGCTGGCCCTCGGGAAACGTGTGAACCCTTTCTTTTCTTGCTATCATGAAGACTTCAAACACACGTCCACACTATTGCAGAAAGAGCTGGTAAACCAGACTACAATGCTTCAGAGCCTCTGTCTCACTTAGTAATCTAAATATAGCTTAAAGGTAAAAATGGGAATCATACTGTTCACCTAGACTAATCCAGGAGAAGGCTGGTTTACGTGAATAAAGTGTCAGAATTACAGGGTGTTTAAGGAATGCAGATTTACTGTTCTGAGGTCGGCCTGAGTCAGACTCAAGGATCATCTTACTGATACTGGGGTTTGTAAACAGTGAGGAGGCTCTGAATGGGTGTGTCTTGCATGTGTAGAAAATACAACTTCTTCAGTAGAACATTTTCCGGCAAATATTCAAATGATGGCATGCCTTTGGAATCTGAGTGAGTGTTGTCTTATTATTTTGTGTTTGTGCATTTACTTATATGTCTATCTACAAATATCAGGATAGAAAGATTCGCTCTCCTTTAAAAACTAAAAGGCAGATTTCCTTCAAAGCATGGAATTACATGGGCTGCTGTGGAGGTTGCTCTTAAGAGGCATAGAGGGGATGGCTGTTTCTTTGGGTCACAAGTCATTCATTCTGTGACACTTGCTGGTAAGGGCTCTGTGTCCCAAGCACAGTGCTAGAGTGAGGGCAGGATTAGCAGACCTCATAAAGGTTCCTCTTGGGGGGTAACTGCAGTGAAGGGTGGTCAGGGCTGTGGCAGGCCAGAGGAGGAAGCAAGGAGTGTGGGGGGCTCTGGAGGCTGAGATCTGATGTGGGATGCAAAGTGGCAGGAATAGTGGAAATAGCAAAAGCAGTTTGCAAGGCTGGGCACAAGGGAAGTGAGGGCTGGAGTATGGAGTGCTGGGGTGAGTGGGGGTCTGCGAAGTAAGTCAGTGCCCATCACAAAGAATGTGCATGTTTTACTGGGGAGTTTGAACTGTTTCTGGACACACTGTCCATTGTCTCCTGAGATTTTGAAGGTTTTAGAACAGATCATTTGGTGACTGGCACACTGTCCATTGTCTCCTGAGACAATGAAGGTTTTAGAACAGATCATTTGGTGACTGATAATTTGGCAGTCACTGTAAGATGTAACAGGCTGAGAGACCAACAGGAGCCTGTTGCCACAATGAATCCAGGCAAGACCTGGAGCTTGCTTGAGATAAAGCAGTGTCTCCACAGCCATGAATGAAATGGGTGAGCTTGATGAGCTCAGGACACAGCCTGGTTAGGGTTGGGGGAGGTGGCTCTGGGGGTGGTGGCTTCAGAAGCATTGCTGTCAGGTCTCTTGGGTGCATGCCTAACAGGTTTGGAACGGTAATGTGCCTGTTACTGAGGTGGAGAACATGGGGGAGCATACATTTGGAAGGGATGAAAATGAGTTAGGTTTGGGGCCCTAATGTGTTTGAGATCCCCATAGGCCTTGAGTGGATTTGTGCAAAGGCTAGCTGGAGATCAAGACAGAAACAAGCTTACATCACCATGAAGTCCCACTGAGGGAGCATGCAGCAGGAAATTCAGAAAGAGAAGAGGACCTACCGAGCATAACTTCATTTGACTTGAGAGGTTTAGAGGGGCAGACCAGCAGTTAGCGTAATGGCTATGTCACTTAACTCCCACATAGCCAACCATGGTTCAAGTCCCGGACCCAGTGGCTTAAACTCATGCTGGGCGCATGTGTGTGCATGCCCAAGATCTCAAGAGGAGAATGGAGGAGAAGGGATTGCGGCGTGGCCATCCCCCCTGGGGGGTGTTTTTTGCTTTCTCTCTGTCTCTCTCTGTCTTTCTGGCGAGCGTACGTGCCCTATAGCAAAAACCTCTCCAAAACAAGACAAAACAAAAACCAAAAAAAAAAAAGAGAGATGTTTAGAGAGGCAGGCAAAACTGCTTTGCCTTTTTTCCTTTCACATTCATTTGGTATTATTTTAGTGACTCTGTTTTGTGGGTGAAATACTATATATATTCTCCTTCTGGACTTGCTGTATTGGCAAGTGCCTGTTCTATCAGAACGTGGACTGAGCCTTATGTGATTAAAATAGAAAGTCAGCAGGACCTCAGTTTAATATGTTGTCCCATGGCTCACCAGCACTGATTGTAGCTGGTTCTGTGTTGATGTGGCCTTTAAACCACTTGGAGGGACTGTGGAGACTTCTCATTTTCCTTTGTAATAAGGATTCTACATGCTCATTATAAACATTTAGGAAGCATATGAAGCCCCGGAGAGTGGAGGAACTACCCAGCAACAAAAACAACCCAGTTTTAATATACAGTAGTTCTACCTTGTCCATAAGGAATATGTTTCAAGATGCCCAGACGTAAAACTGCAGATAGCCTGATACTGCTGATAACCGAAATGATCACTACATGACTGATGGGCCATGTCGTGTGCACATTGTAGATATACAGACCTCTGGCAGGACAGAGCAGGGTGGAATGAGACAGTGCGAGATTTCACCATGCTACTCAGAATGGCATTACTATTTCTGGAATTTTCCATTTAATATGTTTGGACCTGGGGAACAAAGTGAAACCATGTCTGTGTAGCTATATAATATTGTACACGCGTTTGGTGTCTTGTATTAAAAAATGAAGGCAGGACGTTGGAACTGGCCTTAAAAGTACGGGTAACTTTGGCACGTGGTTCTGGCAGCAGGGCATATTCCGGGTGAGTGGCATATCCATGCAAGCAGAGGAAAGCTGGTTTAGGTCTAGTGAACAGTTTCCTTTGGTTGTAGACTAGATGTGGGGAGAATTTAAATAGCATGCAAGACTGCAAATGCATACTTGGACAGAGGGTGGAGGGCGTTTTTAATCATAAGTTGTCAAGTTTGTCCTGAGTTCTGTTAAAAATCTTTATCCTTCCCTTCCACCCCACATTTTCTAATCAGAAACCAAGCATGAGTACATTAGTGATGTAGACAGGCTAATCCACCAGTGTGACTTGCAGGGTAGGGTGGAGACAGAATGGATGTCAGTGGTTTTAGTTTTAAAGATTAGCTGGAATACTAATATTTTGGTTTTTGTCTTTCTCCCATTCCTCCAGTTCTCCAGGAGAATATGAAAGTGTTACTCAGACTTATTTGTTTCATAGCTCTACTGATGTCTTCTCTGGAGGCTGGTAAGTTATGCATGCCCTTGTGTTCTTATCTGCTAAGCAGAATTATTATGTAGAGCAGTGGTCCCCAGCCCTTTTGGCACCAGTGACTGGTTTCATGTAAGACAATTTTTCCACAGACTAGGAGGAGGGGAGTGGTTTTAGAGTGAGTCAAGTTCATTACTTTTATTTTTCCATTTATTTCTATTATGATTATATTATTATATAATGAAATAATTATACCACTTGCCATATGCAGTATTTGCAGCTGATCCCCAGTGATAGCATTATTGCCCCAGCTCCACCTCAGATCATCAGGCATTAGATTCTCATAAGAAACATGCAGCCTAGATCCCTGACATGCACAGTTTACAATAGAGTTTATGCTTCCATGAAAATCTAATGCCACAGGTTATCTTACGGAAGGTGGAGCTCTGGGAGTAATGCGAGCAATGGGGAGTGGCTGTAAATACAGATGAAGCTTTGCTTGCTTGTCTGCTGCTCACCTCCTTCCGTGTGGCTTATTTCCCAATAGGCCATGGATCAGTACCAGTCTGTGGCCCAGGGTTGGAGACTTCTGATGTAGAGTACATGAAGTACATTCCCTGCTAGAATACTTTTTCTTACCCATTTCTGTTGAATCCCCAGACCTGAAGCTTCCTGGTCATAGACTATACTGCTGTAAGTTCCATTTAGTACGTTCGTCTCTCATGGTCTCATGGAATAAAAAACTGAGGCCCACTCAGGTTCATTATACAGGTCATATAGCTAGGGTATGACCTTGGGTAGCTAAGCTGTTTTGGAGCAAGAACTAAAAGGTTAGTTTATTGTCAGCCTCTTCTCTTTTGTTGTTGGTTGAAAAACATGATTCAAGGAGCCCTGGCTTCTATTAGAAATAGATGGTCAAGAGAATGTTTGTTTTTTCTATTTCTTCATTTTCCCCTTTTCCTTCACCATCCCTTACTACAAATTTATTTATCCCCTTCACTGTGCCAGGTACTAGGTTCTGGGAATATAGTAGTGAATAGAACAGACAGAAATACAAAAAAAAGTCTTCAAAAAATTCATGAGAAATGGACACTATGAAAAAACTATGCATGGATTTCAAGGGTTTTATTTTATTTTTATTTTTTGCACCAAAACAAACTTGTCATTTAATTCTGTTTTTCCATAAACTTCTTGAGATGCCCTCTTACCTGGGGTTTTCAGTCTCCTAAATGAGAGAGACAATACGTTAGATAAGTAATATATATTATGTCATACAGTGATAAGTGTAGGCAGAGTAAAAAACAGGAAAATAATATTAAGTTGTGGTATTAGATTAGGCAAAAGTTTAAATTTCTGATAGTGTGGTCAGGAAAGACCTCACTGAGAAGTTGCCTTTTGAGAACTTGAAAGAGGGGAAGGAGGGAGTTATACAAATATTAGGTTGGGCGTTCGGAAATATTCTAGCCACCACATGCAAAGGTCCTGAGGCCAAGAGTTCATGGCCTGTGGGAGCTAAAATACCAGTACAGTGGGAGCATAGTGAGAGACGAGGGGAGTCATAAGGGATGAGATTATTTGTGGAATGGGATGTGTGATGGAGCATCAGTCGTGCAGAACATTGCAGACCTGCCCAAGGACCTCAGCTTGTAGTCTGAGAATGGACGACTGCTGGTTTGTTGTTTAAAACCAGAGAGGTGGGGCCGGCAGATAGCATGGTGTTTAAGGCACTGGATCCCACATGACTGACTCCAAGTTCAAGTCCCAAAACCAGCTACTTGAAAAACATGCCACACACGTGTGTGTGCATGCCAAAAATCCCTAGAGGAAAAGGGATTGTGGTGTGGCCATCCCCCCAGGGGGTACTTTCTTACTTTTCCTCTCTCTCTGTTCTCTCCAATGAGCACACATGCCCTGTGGCCAACACCTAAGAAACAAAATAAAACAACACACACACACACACACACACACACACCCAAAAAGGTAATCTGACTTATATTTTAATAGGCTCATTTTGGTTCTTATTTTGAGAACAGATCCTCCTACAGGGGCAGAAGCAGAAACAAAGACACTGAAGAGTCTGTTGTGATAATCCAGGCGAGTTATGGTGGTGGTTAGTTTAGGCAAGAACTAATCAATAATAGTTTGTCCAAGGGTGCCAAGAAGAGGGTAGGAGTAGTCAAATTTTGGGAATATTTGAGTATACAGCTAGTAGGAATTTGTAGAGAGACTGGGCATAAGGTGTAAGGAAAAAAGAAGAATCAAGGATGACTCCAAAGGTTCTGGCTTGAGCAAATGTAAGTTGATGAAATGGGAAGAATCAGGTGTTCAGACGGACATGCTAAGGTCAGCTGTCCATTAGGTGTTGACATAGTGACGTTGACTAAGGAGGCTGGAGTCTGGAGAGGACTAGCTTGGAGATGTAAAGTTGGAGACCTCTGCAAGCAGCTCGTACGAGAACCATGAGACTGAATTGGTCTCCTCAAATCAAATATGGTTAGAAAAGTTCAGAACTTCAAGGAATGAGCCCTGTGGTCCATCAAGGATTGACCGCCAAGCTTTTCCTGCTTGGAGAACCAGTGAAAGAGTGACTTGAAATGTAGGAGGAGAACCAGACAAGTTCCCTGAAAGCCAGGGGAAGAAAGTGTTTTAAGGACAAGACAATGGTGATACGTGTCAAATGCAGATATATAAACTAAGGTGATGTCTGAGAGTTGTTTATTCGATAGAGCAACTTAAGCATCCTGGGTGACCATGATTAGAGTAACCTCAGAGAAATGGAATGGTCTAGCTGAGGTTTATTTCAAATGTATTGTATAATTGCTATTGTGCTGCTACTCCTAGTAGCTAAATATCTAGGAGACTTCAGTCTATGCAGGTACCATTCTAAATTCCTAGCTTTTATTATAATCCTAATTCATGACAGTTTTATTTTAGTATAATTGCCTTATAGTAAAGCTTGTGTACTTAAAGTATAGAATTTGAAGTTTTGATGTACATATACACTCCTGAAAGCATAATCACAACCAAGATAATAAATATATTCATTACTTCTTAACATTTCCTTTTATCCTTTATCACCCTCCTTTCGGAAATATTCTAGCCACCACATACAAAGGTCCTGATGCCAAGAGTTCATGGCCTGTTGGAGCTAAAATACCGGTATGGTGGGAGCATAGTGAGAGACGAGGGGAGTCATAAGGAATGAGATTATTTGTGGAATGGGATGTGTGATGGAGCATCAGTCGTGCAGAACATTGCAGACCTGCCCAAGGACCTCAGCTTGTAGTCTGAGAATGGACGACTGCTGGTTTGTTGTTTAAAACCAGAGAGGTGGGGCCGGCAGATAGCATGGTGTTTAAGGCACTGGATCCCACATGACTGACTCCAAGTTCAAGTCCCAAAACCAGCTACTTGAAAAACATGCCACACACGTGTGTGTGCATGCCAAAAATCCCTAGAGGAAAAGGGATTGTGGTGTGGCCATCCCCCCAGGGGGTACTTTCTTACTTTTCCTCTCTCTCTGTTCTCTCCAATGAGCACACATGCCCTGTGGCCAACACCTAAGAAACAAAATAAAACAACACACACACACACACACACACACACACACACACCCAAAAAGGTAATCTGACTTATATTTTAATAGGCTCATTTTGGTTCTTATTTTGAGAACAGATCCTCCTACAGGGGCAGAAGCAGAAACAAAGACACTGAAGAGTCTGTTGTGATAATCCAGGCGAGTTATGGTGGTGGTTAGTTTAGGCAAGAACTAATCAATAATAGTTTGTCCAAGGGTGCCAAGAAGAGGGTAGGAGTAGTCAAATTTTGGGAATATTTGAGTATACAGCTAGTAGGAATTTGTAGAGAGACTGGGCATAAGGTGTAAGGAAAAAAGAAGAATCAAGGATGACTCCAAAGGTTCTGGCTTGAGCAAATGTAAGTTGATGAAATGGGAAGAATCAGGTGTTCAGACGGACATGCTAAGGTCAGCTGTCCATTAGGTGTTGACATAGTGACGTTGACTAAGGAGGCTGGAGTCTGGAGAGGACTAGCTTGGAGATGTAAAGTTGGAGACCTCTGCAAGCAGCTCGTACGAGAACCATGAGACTGAATTGGTCTCCTCAAATCAAATATGGTTAGAAAAGTTCAGAACTTCAAGGAATGAGCCCTGTGGTCCATCAAGGATTGACCGCCAAGCTTTTCCTGCTTGGAGAACCAGTGAAAGAGTGACTTGAAATGTAGGAGGAGAACCAGACAAGTTCCCTGAAAGCCAGGGGAAGAAAGTGTTTTAAGGACAAGACAATGGTGATACGTGTCAAATGCAGATATATAAACTAAGGTGATGTCTGAGAGTTGTTTATTCGATAGAGCAACTTAAGCATCCTGGGTGACCATGATTAGAGTAACCTCAGAGAAATGGAATGGTCTAGCTGAGGTTTATTTCAAATGTATTGTATAATTGCTATTGTGCTGCTACTCCTAGTAGCTAAATATCTAGGAGACTTCAGTCTATGCAGGTACCATTCTAAATTCCTAGCTTTTATTATAATCCTAATTCATGACAGTTTTATTTTAGTATAATTGCCTTATAGTAAAGCTTGTGTACTTAAAGTATAGAATTTGAAGTTTTGATGTACATATACACTCCTGAAAGCATAATCACAACCAAGATAATAAATATATTCATTACTTCTTAACATTTCCTTTTATCCTTTATCACCCTCCTTTGCATTCTTACCCACCCCTTCATAGCAAGGCAACTAATGATTTGCTCACTGTCAGTATAGATTGGTTTGTGTCCTCTAGAATTTTAAACAAATGAGATTATACAGCATATACTTATTTTGAGTGGGAAGGGAGTCTGGGTAGCATAATAATTTTGAAATGCACTTATTATTGTATATTAATTTACTTAAAGTATCTTTCAAAAATTATAATTCTTAATTTGGATAAAGTGCAACTTATCTTTTTAATTTATGAATTGTATTTTTATTACTGTATCTCAAAAACATTTAACTGTTCCTAAGCCTCAATTT